CTACATTGACCTCAGCACCCCTTTACATATCTTACCCTTCATTACATGACTGTCAATTGCTACATTGTCATATATTCACCTTTCTTACCATATGCCACTTGCCTTTGATTTAGCATATTATCGAAATAGTTTGTCAACGATGTCAGTGATGTCGGATTTGATTACTAAGTAAAAGCACGTAAGCCAAGGGCTTGCCTTGTTCCATGTTAAACACAAACACAACCAACATTTTAAATAACCCAAGACCTTAAAAATAGAATATGTAACRGAAAACCATATGGAAAACTTGCGAGACAAAAATAGAATATACTTTTTATTGCTTAAATAACTTAACTTACGTTTAGGCGGCCGGTAAAAGTGAGGGGAGTTTTGTACTTCATCCATTGTCTTCTCATCTTCTGCAAGAAAAGAGAGTGTTACTGAGATCAGTGATAACCTGTAACGACTCAGCGACCGGCCGCGCGCGCGGTTTTGGCGAGAAATTTCCCGCCAAATCCAAGGAACTTAATCAGTAACTGACGGCTAGTTCTCAAAGAGTTCCGTTTTAGGGAAAGTAAATCAATTTGAGCATCCATACAATCCATCTAAAATAATATAATGTCAGCTACCTACCATCTTCGTATTTATTTAAAGATTCATTTTCAATGTCTTGGTCTGTGTCTTCATCTGCTCTAGGATTCGTTTCCCATGCTTGAGGGTCGTCCTTCCATGCTTGTGGATCGCTCTTCCATGCTTGAGGGTCGTTCTTCCATGCTTGAGGATCGTTCTTCCATGCTTGTGGGTCATTGTTCCATGCCTGAGGGTCGTTGTTCCATGCCTGAGGGTCTTCTTTCCATGCCTGAGGGTCTTCTTTCCATGCTTGAGGGTCGTTCTTCCATGCTTGAGGATCGTTCTTCCATGCTTGTGGGTCATTGTTCCATGCCTGAGGGTCTTCTTTCCATGCTTGAGGGTCGCTCTTCCATGCTTGAGGGTCGTCCTTCCATGCTTGAGGGTCGTCCTTCCAGGCTTGTGGGTCGTTGTTCCATGCCTGAGGGTCGTTCGTCCATGCTTGAGGATCGTTCTTCCATACCTGAGGGTCGTTCTTCCATACCTGAGGGTCGTTCTTCCATGCCTGAGAGTCTTCTTTCCATGCTTGTGGGTCGCTCTTCCATGCTTGAGGGTCGTTCTTCCATGCCTGAGGGTCGTTCTTCCATGCCTGAGGGTCGTTCTTCCATGCCTGAGAGTCTTCTTTCCATGCTTGAGGGTCGTTCTTCCATGCTTGAGGGTCGCTCTTCCATGCTTGTGGGTCTCTCTTCCATGCTTGAGGGTCGCTCTTCCATGCTTGAGGGTCGCTCTTCCATGCTTGAGGGTCGCTCTTCCATGCTTGAGGGTCATCGGCTGCATCAGCTAACTCCTTCAGCTCTCGAATAATCGACTCTTTCAAAGACTCTTAAAAAATACACAACCAAAACAAGTACTACTTAGACAACATGCTAAAAGTTATTTTACGTCACTACGGTTTCTTTAATCCCAATAGCGTCATTTACGGTGACCACAATTAATATTTTTCAAGCGCGCAAAATAAAGAAGTCCTTTAGCCGGCAGTGAGCTGTTTCCTGGCACACTCTTCGCTCAATACTACAAATACTTTTTGCAGTTAAGACGCGTAATATAAACATGATGAATCTTTAGCTTGTGTTAAATAACATTCAGGCGGGAAAACTGGCTTGAATCAAAACCTTCACCTCCCGAGACTATCGTAATTTTTGCAGAATTTTTGTAGTCAAGACGCGTAATATATACATGATAAATTTTTAGCTTGCGTTAAAATAATATTCAGGCGGGAAAACTGGCTTGTACCAAAACCTTCACCTCACGATACTTTCGTAATTTGAGCAAACAAAAATGCAAAATCCATACCTTCGCCAGCAGCAAATGTTAGACAAGCGAACACATACCACAACGAAAGCATCATCTTATCTCAGTAAAATCAAATCTATAAACTTTTCCCAAGTCGAGAAATAAAAAATTTGAGGACCAATATGTTCGGTAGATCCTTGCACGCACCGAGGTCGAAGCTGAGCGTCGTAATGAATCGTCACTCACTGCTGGCCAGACTTTTATCAGCCCTAAGCGGAACTGTAACAAGATCTCCGCATTCTTGAAAGCTTACACGATAGACAAGGCATGCCACTAAGGAAAAGCTGTTAATATGAATCTTTTGGCGCCAATGATAATATTTAATCTAGAATTTATTTTGGACCTATAATTGCAATAAAATCCCATAGCTTTGCACAATATGATCGTGGATTCTTTCTCTACAGAGCTGTACTCTTTTAGGTAATCTTTTAAAAAGTGTTACTGATAAAGTTTCGATGGGAAATGTTGTTTTGAATGTAGAAAATGTAGAACCTCTTGGCGCGCCATGATATRTTTGTTTGAGCGGGAAAAACCAAATTTGTTAACTTGTCCTACATTAGACGCTGCGAAAACGCAGTCTACGAACTTCACATCAAACTTGTGTGCAATTTTAAACAAATTAAACAAACTGTTTTTATAAAAAGGTATGATAATGATTTAATTGAAAAGCCCCGCTCAAAAACTAATTACTATTTTCTTACGAGATTTTAACATATTTTGTGTTCGTTGTTTAAATATTTCCGTTATATCCTGCTGTTTGAAGGTCTTGCTGTCCTCAGAAACATGAATCATAAGGTCTGTAAGTGAACTCAGTATGAGAATTAGTGATCTTTTAACACCTAGGCAAGGACTCAAATTGAAACCAGACCTATTAACAAAGCTAACTTCACTGAAAGGAAACGTTTTTATTCTTGATGCAGGTCGCAGATGTGGGTGTATTAAGGAAATTAAACATGGGTGCGATGAGTTTTGACAGATTCTGTCAGCTTTAGATAAGAAAATAAATGAATTTCATTTTGAGAGGATGAGTTTCAGCTTGTATCATAGAGTGATTGCCATATGACCGTGAAAGAAAATAGACCATTTAGTTTGTAATAGTTGATAAAGAACAAAAGAAAATCATTGGTTTAGAGTCTACTACTAACTATTAGTTTGCCTATTCTTTCACGGTCATATGGCAATCACTCTAGTATGTCGAATTACGTAGAATTTACGACTGAAAGTCAAAGTGAAATGAAGATATGAAGACAAGGGAGAAGCTGAGAAAGAAGCCACAGGAAGAAAGAAGATGCTTCAAAAAATCCCTAGAAGACTAGAACAAGAAGAGCAGCAGCAAAAAGGAAGAAAGTTTTAGAGGAGATTAAGAAGATGATCCGGAAAAACATGATATAATAAAAAAATAAGATTAGTTGAAGAAGCATTTAGAATAGGTCAACTAGGAGATTTAAGGGACGGACAATTAAATTATTGAGCGGAGAGCCGCGTAAATCCTCCAAAAAATATCGAGCAAGCACTTCGCCTACGAAAAAAAGAGAGCTCCTTTCAGTAAAGGAACATCGAGCAAAAAAAAAACCCACGTACAGAAAAAAAAATGCGTGCAGAGGTTGTTACAAAAAAATAAATAAATAGCGTGCAATGATTYGTGCAACCTCCATCCCTGTCATCACATCATCACATTGTCGTCACAGTTTCAGCTAAATGAAAGACCTCGCGTGTGTAGGACCGTCTTGATCAGTGATAAGGTCAACTGGCGACAGACAATAAATATAGAAAGAATATAAGTTTTCCATGTCCATCTTCGTTTCATTAAATAATGGTGGACAATGTTAAGAAATTCTGGGCTTTATCGTAAATGATTTGCTTTCTAGTTTGAAATTCTTAGACTGGCTGTCATCCACAAGGCTTCGCAAAATGTGCCCTCCACCCTTCCCCCCTAAGAAAAAAATTCGGACTATTAACACAAAGAGCCGCAGATCAGACCTCAAGCAATTCTCAATATAATCACTTTATTATCAGTTTAGATTAAAATCATGTTATAATAATAAAATCGATAACGTTAGAATTATCTGCTCTTACTACAGTTTGTCGTGAGAATTTGAAGGAACACAGGACAGCGAACTTGTGGCGCGCCGTGTACGGCAAACTGGCCTGCCTTTCAATTTCGGCCGCAATTCAGTCCATATAACAATCAGTGTTTCAGTGAGTTTTTGTTTGGGCTTCATAAAGTGCATAAAAATAGAACTTAAACTCAGAGGTAAGACGAATGATATGAAAAAATCTGGGCATACTAAAAAAGATTTTTGACTCATTGATGACAATAATTTGAAACTRGATAGAAGGCAATTAACCGTATTTTCTCGATAAACGTCTTCCTTGAATTAGGAGCTGACCCCAAACAGGCGCTGAAACTCCAAAATTTGAACAACACAAGGACGTAAGAAGGCGGTAAGAAGAGCTCGGTGGAATCRTTATTTCTTTCCTATGCTATTTCTGAATTGAAATCACTTAAAAGAAATCGCGTATAAAAATGATAACGTTTGTTAAACATCACAGACGGGRAAAAACCTAGCGTCCATGTTTTTGGACCTCAGAGGATTTTGACAGCTTGGGCAACGATCTTCAACCTATAAACATATTTTATAACTTATCTGTCTCTATACCGTATCAGTACATATAATTGATAGTTGGTTTATTATTTTTAAAAATGTCTATTTTCTCGGGACATAAAAAGTGAAATAATTTGTTAAGTATCTGTGAAACTCTTCCTATTCTGCAGCGTTTTGCTCGTCAAGTCTGTTGCCAGAAAAAACACAATTACAAAAATAGACTAAACTAAATTCAAAGCGTCTATCATCCTGTCAAATCATCTAGCCTGACTTTGAGTCTTTAGACCCGATGCAGGAATATAAAACCCATAGGGACTAGGAACACTAAATGACTTCACCATGGCATCTTTGACGTTTAACCAATCCGCTGGACCCGACAATGGTCCAACAGGGTTTGCTGCACCTCCTGGGACAGCAGAGGTCATGTACTTTTGCTTAAGGTCCAACCATGCACTCGGTGTCATCATCGGTACTCCTCCAGGCTTGGCAAACATAGCAGGAGCGTCTGCTGATGGATTTGTTCCGCTTGCAGCTCCTGCAGTGCTGGTGTAGCTCTTAATGAATTCTGCCCAAAGGTCAGTCATTTCAGAAGGAGGCAGACTAGTTTCTGTTGATGAGCCTTTGTTGGGGACCTGACCTTCCTCAGGCGACGTCGGACCCGTTCCTTGCTTGGATTCCTTAGACATGGCTTTCATAAACTCCAACCATGGGTTTACAGCGACGGGGTTTGTCGTACTGGGTTTGGCCATGTAGCCGTTCATGATCGCAGCCCATGGATTTGGTTTGACTGGTTTGGGAGGTTTTGGCTTCACAAACGCTGCCCAGAATGGCACCATGTTGCTCGACGCAGATCCACTTGTTTGGCCGGTGGAGTTAAAAAGAGACTTAAAATACTCTGCCCAAGGATTTGGTTTCGGTGTTGGTGGGGGTGGGRGTGCTTGAGGTTTCAAGAGAGCGGCCCAGAATGGAATGGCAGGACTAGATGATGTTTTGGTACCACTAGATGAACTCGTTTTCCTCATGGACTTCAAATACTCCGCCCATGGATTAGGTGGGGTAGCTGCACCTGGCGGTGGAAAGAAGGCAGGTTTTGGAGGGATAAAAGCTGCCTTTGATGTCATGAAGGCTGCCCAGAATGGCGGAACAGCGCCCGTTGTTGTACCTGCTGGAGGGTCAGCCATGAAGGGACTCCAAGGTGTAGATCCCCCGACGAATCCCTTTGGAATAAACGCAGACGCTGCTGGTGGAATGAAGGCTCCTTTTGGTGGAATAAAGGAGGACACTTGTGGTGGGATGAACGCGTTTTTTAGGGGAGCGAAACCGGTCTTGGATGGGATATACGACGCCCAGAAAGGAGAGCCTCCACTAGAGCCGTAATCTGGAGGATCTGACATTGAAGTCCCAGCACCAGGGAACTTAGACTTCATGAATGCAGTCCAAAATGGCGCTCCTGCTTTGCTGGTAGTCGCTGGTGGCATCATGAAAGATGACTTCATATTCATCCATTCACTAGGGGTTATAGATGCTGCAGGGCTGATTGGAATACCGAAAGAAGACAACTGCTTCGATATAGCACCCCAGGGCGGAGGATACCCTGCTACCATCCCAGGATCACTTGCTGTCGATGAGTACTTCTTCAAAAACTCGGCCGAGGGATCTGGCTTCGTGGTTGAATCGCGAGAGACTGGTGCAGAGGTTTTTGGTTTGATGAAACTTGTCCAGAAAGGAGCGTCAGGGCCAAGAGATTTTATGAACTTGGTTTTTAGTTTCATCAAGTCTTCAGGGCTTGGTGTCGTCCCTGGAGCTGCTATTGGAATACCCAAGGCCTTCAGTTGTTTCTCGATTAGTGGCCAAGCAGGGTTAGGCTTCTTGGGTTTTGGTGTAGTCTGACACAGTGACAAAGAAAACAACGATTATAACGTAAGAGCAGATGATTATCAAACTATGGAAGAAACCATCTACAAGAACAGGAGCACCAACAACGACAGTAGCATCAACAACAGCAGCAACAACAACAGCATCACCAAATTTTGGAGGGCCATAACGTAAATTACTGGGCTACCAGTAATGTATGTCACCCTCGTTATATAAAGTTTATTTATTTATTTATTTTTAACAGCAGCAGCAACAACAACAACAACAGCATCAACAGCAGCAGCAACAACAACAGCAACAACGACAACAATAGCAGCAACAACAACAGCAACAGCGGCATCATCTGTGGCAACAGCAATAACAACAACAGCACTAGCATCATACAGGCGGCAGCACAGCAACGACAGAAGCAACAGACAGCAGAAACAGCAAGAAAAGCAGCAGGAAAAGCAGCAGCGGCAACATAATCGACAATTCTCTAAACCCACAGTACTGCTTACCATTGGTGCTGCTGAGGCAACAGCATCTTTTGACTTGACATCAGACAGATCTCTCTTGACAGAACCACCTGATGGCAAAACAAAAACAAAAACCAAATATTTTGAATTAATTTCCGTTGTTACATCATTCAACATGGCGGCCAGGTCTTGCTCTATTTCCAGGGAAAAGATTGCGGACCAGCAATGACCCTAGCTCATAATGGAAAGTCCTTGACCGAAACCAACCTCTGATTTACAAAATATAGTTGTGATTCTAGTTTTGTAATTCAGTCCGATAAAGCCCCTTTTCCTATTAAAAGATTTACATGTGTTTTGTTTGGAAAATAACGGTTGATTTCTTGAGATTTAATGTAGTTATCCCTCCAGGGAAAATCCTGAATGAACAATAGAGTAAAAGTGGGATATCCAATGCTTACTTACTTTGCTTCACATCGTCATTACCGTTCTCCGTAAAGGTATCTTTTTCCTTCACCCCTGATGTTTTAGTCTTTTCTTCAGCTTCTTTATGAATGGTAATAATGTCTCGTAACTTGTCAATAAGCTCGGACACCTCCTCCAAAGTATACGTCGGCGTCCCATCAGCTTTGGTAGGCGCTACTTCCGCCTTGCTTGCTAATTCAGTAGCTTTACGATTGGCCACAAACTGATTAAACGCATTGATTAAAGCAGAAACTTGTTCAGGCGAAGGTGGTGCGAACTTGGTTTTAGTTTTCGCTGCTTCTTTAGCTTTCTTAGCTGCAGCATGAGCAGCTATGAGGTTCTTTAGAAAATCAACTGGCAAGACTTGCCCTGGTGTCCCAGGGGCATCCCGTTGTACTTGACTGTTATAATAAGGGTTGAATGCCATAGGAACCTGTTGATTTGGTGTCATGGAGCCATATGGGTTAGGTATCATAGCAGCGTATGGGTTTTGGGCCATCATTGGTGGGTACATAGGAGCACTATATGCAGAATATCCATAGTTGCTTCCTGCATATGGTTGCTTCATGGACCCAGTGTAGGACGACTTCCATGGTGATTTGGATTTTGTGCTTTTTCCATCTTTCATCTTGGAATCTAAAATGAATATATGTATTGAAATATCGTAGGGAGAGAAATTTGGGAAACTACACGAGAGTACATACGCCGACTACAATACAATAGGAGCAACGGCAACAACAACAATCCTGTAAAGGATCAGCAGCAGCAACAACAGCAGCAACAACAAGAAAAACAGCAACATCATCACTACAAACAAAAAATGGAGCAGTAAGAATCTTAAACAACAGCATCTTCAATAACAGCAGTAACAACAACAACAACAGCAAGAATAACAGTGACATCATCATACTACTACAACAACAACAAAATGAAATGGAAAATCAGCAGCAATAAAGCAGTTTTTATTTAGGCTATATCAAAGCACCTTGCGTATTACCTCGTTCTTGTTGGTGATCTTTTTGACGTTCTCGAGATGCTTCGTCGAGGAGGCCTTTGAGATCCTTGTCAATGCTGTCATGTGCTGTCAAAAATAAACATCACTATTATCGGCATGAGCATCGTCATGATCATCACTACCACCATTATGATCATCACAACTCCATTATCACAACCACCATCATCATCACCATCATTATCATTATCATCATCAACATCATGATGATGACTGCTATCATTATCATCCTCATCACCACCATCATCATCGCCGCCTTCATCTTCATCATCACCATTATCACCATCTTCTATTACGATCTTTATCAACACCATCAATTCATTTCTGTCATTATTTTTTCATTATCATACGAGTTGATAAGGTGTGCACACTAAAAACAGAATCACTATGTTTATTTAAGAACCTRAATGCCACGGCACACTGAAGTGATATTATACTATATTATTAGTATTCTTACATGCTCCACCGCCTCCTCCTCCTCCACCACCTCCAGCTCCACGACCGCCACCTCCTCCTCCTCCGCCTCCGCCACCACCACCACCTAAAAAATAATAGAAAAGTCTGTGAGGGGCCGGAAAGAAAACAAGAAATGAAATATGAAAATAATGACTTTGGGTTTGCAAGACGTACTATAATAATCCAACATAGGGTTCTCTGTTGCCCAGGGYTAGCCTTAATCTTTGTGTAGAATATTCACGTCTCGTGTGGACTTTTAAAATATTTGTATCGTTGAAGTCGTGAATTCTTTACTTTATCGTTGGTATTTGTTAAGTGACGCTGATACGAGGCTAACCCTGAGCAAATGAGTCTGAGAAACACAGCGGTATTTGTGTTATTTGAAAATGGTCTATTGTAAACGACCGACCTGCTCGATATCGTCCATTATGCCATTCCCCACCTCTATATCCAAACTCCATTCCGTTCTGGTATTTATTAAATCCCTTCTTGATCTTGTTACCTTTTGGTTTGTCGTTGCTTAAGCTGGTGTCTTAGATAACAAACAAACAAACGAACGCATCAATATTGGTCAAATATGATGCAAGGTCTATAATGCAAAATCGAAATATGGCGACCATTTTGAATAACTATTGTTCTGCACTGACTAGCGACTGACTAGCCTCATGTTCACGGAAACATTTTCAAAAAAGCATTTTCACATGAATAAGAGGTTTGTCAGTCGCTTACCAGTCCGGAAAAATAGTTATTCAAATTGGTCGCCATATTTCGGTTCGGCGTATGGAGACCTTGTTGAAACATAAAAATAGGTTAATGTGGGATGGAGGGGTTAAGTTGATGTCATTCTTCTAAGTATCATTTCTTTGTTTAATCGCAATGAAGGGAATGATGCTTGTGAAAAGCTTTTTTCCACGATGAAATATAGAAGCTAACTAAATATTTCGACTACCTTTGAAGGACGTGAAAAATGTTTAATTGTAAATGTTTTTATCAATTTGAAATGGAAAAAATAACTTACCATAACTACCACCGCCTCCTTGTCCATGGCCGCCACCACTGCCGTTTTTCCCCCCACCTCCTCCTCCTCCTCCCCCTCCTCCGCCACCGTTGGATCCACTTCCATGGCCACCACCACCTCCTTTTCCCCCTCCACCATTCTGTTCTCCACCTCCACCACCGCCACCGCCTCCTCCTCCTCCTCCTCCGCCACCATCTGAAACAAAAACAAAAATATACCAGTTAAACTCGTACCAGATATAATAGTTTTCAAAGTACATCAGTATAGGGAGTGAAGTGAACACTGTTACATAAGAAAGTAAAACTAATGCAAATATAAATTCAGTACGAGGAATTAAAAATCGAACCAAAGAAAAGAAAAAAAGCAAGTACAAAATCAAAAATCAAAAAACAGAAATAAATGTGSTTGCACGTGAATTTGAATTGCGTCCATCGTGTAACGCCCCGTCCACACTATGCAGGATAAATTTGAATCCGAGTTTTTATTTATTCGGTTCCATTTCGAAAATTCGTTTTCGGTGAAGAATTGTTCCGGATTCGCCCGGACTAGTGTGGACGGTAGGCCTAACCGAATAAATAAAAATTCGGATTCAAATTTATCCGGCATAGTGTGGACGGGGCCTAAGTCATGCATCAGGTCAAAGCCACTTCATACTCAGGAATATTTTTCAAAAAATACTCGCTACAATCTACAAAATCCAAGAATTATTACGAAAAATATTAAATATAATGAATAAACTTAACTTACCACGAGAAATAGCAGCAGAAGTAACTAACGAGACCGTGACCAAAAGGAGAAACACTGTAAGCTTCCTCATCCTTGCAGGATATTCCTTCAAGAAACAACTGCGTACGAATCCCGAGCTGTGTGCTTTTGAGAATAAGACTCGGAAATCACCGTGGGTCAGTTTTATAGTGAGCCACTCAAAGTGGATTCCAGTGAAGTAATTTTAATTTTTTCACCAGCAATTAATAATTCTTTGCGCGCGAATTTTGGGTTAATTTATTCCTTGACTGTGACGGAAATTGCGGCGCTGTTTTCGTATCGCAGATTTTTTTACAAATTTAGTGAGCTTACTTTTTCTTTTTAAAAAATATCTCAATTGTACAAGTTTGCTACAAGTCCATTCTACAATCCTACAGGTTTTTGTAATTTAGAAAACTCCGTGTTTTTACTGATGTAGCATGAGTTTGAAACGGCCATATCAGAGAGCAAAATCTTCCCGGGAAATCAAAGGTCATTTTTTGCCGCGCATTTCGGTCAGTTACGAGGCCGCGCTATCTATATCCGCGATTGTGTATTTAAAACCTTTGAGACATTCAAGTAGTTATAGTAATATTTTCATTTTGAAGCGAATCCTGATTCAAAAACAAGCTCTGGAATCACTAATAAATTTATGATGACTCCGTAGCTCTTTCCGGGGTCTTCAAGTAATGAAAACTCATGCAAATGCTAAATGCGCCGCATAGTACGAGACAAATGTTGCTCCAGTGTCGATTAATGCAGGAAGCCCTGTCGAAACGTAGCAAAGTTATGCCGTCAAACTGATTGTGGAATGGTCGCACTCTCGTTGGGCTAAACTCAGAAATCTAAAGTTCCAACGAAAATATACTTAGAGACAGTTAAAAGGTGAGAATCATGACTGTCAAAAAAGATGAATTGAGAAGAGAGGAACTTTCTGGAAAAGAATCGTAAAAATAATAATTTTAAAAGCAAAGATTGTTTTTAAGGACAGTCTGTTTTGCACATCTTAATATCAGTACAGTAAACAGCGCGGATTATTAAAGTAGTTTCCAATGATACTCAAAATTGTAGCCAAAATAACTGGAAATATTTCTACAATAAATGTTGCTGTTAACATTATCAGCAAATATTTCCCGCATTTTTTGCGTAAAACCCGCCGTAGAAACCATGTGCGTGCTGTAGAGATAAATTACTATGCGTTAATAAAAAATGCGTGACAGACGTGACACTCYTTCCATGTGAGAACAGATGTATGTCAGCGGTTCACCTTGACCGTAATTTTTGGCGGAAATCTAATTCTTCCGCGCGATAAAGAAAAAAATTATCTAACACGGCTTTTCTACAGGGTTAAATCCTTTATCTGCGCTCATTATCTGCGTTTTTAAATAACTCCAGAACCTACACAGTACCACAGGAACCCCAAACTTAGTTGACAAAAGAATACAGATTAAATATGGAGAGAAAAAGCATTTCAGAACTTTATTACAGAGTATAGAAGCTTGAAAGCTAAATATGTTCAAATCGTGCTTTAACTTTCAAATAACCTCTTCTCAATAATCCTTTGCCTTTAGTTTGGGTTTTGGGGTTCCTGTGGTAACGAAGCGAAGTAAAAGACGAAAGCCTGGGAACGAGTCAAAACGACGCCATTTTGGAGGACAAAGCCTTGAACTCCTTCGATCAAAACTTTCAAAAATTCGCTTAAAATGGTCAATTTCTGCGCCGTTTATGGCTGTTCAAATCGTTCTAATCGCGAGAAAAACCGAAGTTTCTTTCGAATCCCAGCGATAATTTATCATTCGGACGAAAAAACGAAGAATCTAAGTCGAGAGAGAAGACAAAGATGGCTGGCGATGATCCAAAGGCAAGACTTGACTGACTCGCAGATAGTAAGCACAAGAATCTGCAGTGATCATTTTATATCCGGTAAATATTTTCACGTAATTATGCTACATTAATTCTTAGATTAACGATAATTTGGAAAAGAATATTAAGTTTAATGTTTCTCTCGGTTTGTTTGTTTAGTGTGTCGAAAGACGTTTTTAGGGGGGAGGGGAGGGGGTATCGCAGTATTTTCATCATAATAACAGTTTAAATAATGTTTTTCTTAGTGAATATTTTTCTTTTTGTATAAGTGTATGCATGTAAGTAATATATCTGGGTAGACTAACATGTATAAACATGGTTATATTAATTATATCTTTATGTACTTGCAGTGAAAATGGATTAAATTAAAAATTAATTAAGCCTTTTGCCTGTAGCCCTGTGTTTTGGGATAATCGCGAAGCATGATATTACCCTTGGGGGGAGGGGGTGCTACATTTTACCATTTGCTTTTAATGAGGTTTTCAGATGTCATTATACAGTAATTATTATTATAATGCCCCTTTACGACCATGCATCTTGACTTGCATTTGCTTCTTATTATTGAAATAGGGAAACCTTCAGCTTTGTATGATACATTAAATATTGACTGGCTTCCAACACTCAACATTGGTACAAACATAGACAGAAGGTACAGGAAAGGGACATACTCAAGAATCAAGCAACRAGGAGAAAAGCGAAAACGAGCCGACACTGCAGACACCCTTCTTCATCTTTCCCAGCCTGCTGCTGTCCCAATCCTAGATCTACCAATTGTGACCTTAAAGGAAGAAGATGATGACAGACCTTTCAAGTCCTGTGCCGCTATGACTTGTGTAACAATGTCTGATATCGAAAGACTTGAAAGAGAAAACTTCAACTTAAGGGAAGAGAATAGAGATCTGACTGCAAAGTTAAGGACACTGATGCGTTTGGCAATGGTGACTAATAGAGATAAAATTTTAGGACCACCATTGTCAGATACTCAGCCAGTGGAAGTGTTACAACAGGTGCCTCATACCCAGCCAGTAGCAGTTTTACATCAGATGCCACATACGCAGCCAGTATCAGTTTCACCCATGTCACGTACCCAACCAGCTGTACCAGAGGTCACATCAATGGCAATTGGTGAAGTTGCTTTAGTAAAGGTGTTAAATATCAATCATTCTAATATAAATGATTAAATATATTGGTTGTTTCAAGTCTCCACAAGTAGAGGTACTCAGATGTTGTTTTTTTGCTATCATTCATCTAAAACATTAAATATCTACTCTGAATTTGTTCTGTTTTTGCAAATGTCACACACAGTCTGTGATTTAGCAAAGTCAAAGTAAATGGACCTCATCCATCTAGGYATAAAAATTTAGTCATCATTTCAGATCATATGTCACTGATCTCCAGAGAGATAAGATTCTTTTTCTGAGTTTTATCCTGAGATTTATGTGTCTTGCCACGCATAACCATTAAATAATGAAATGATACTCTAGGGAACGTGGACATATGGTCTGACAATTAATAGTGATTAGAYGTATCAGATTTATATACTTTCATTCACACACACCTTGTGTTTCCTCAAACGTTTTTTCAGTTATTTCTTGCCTCTTTGATTCCAAAAGACATGCTATCCTTCTGCTCTGACAGATGTATTATACATAAGAATCTGTTCCTGATAAGGAACACACATTTATATCCAGGGTTTGATAGCTGAAGGAATAACAATGAAAAGAATAACATATAACTTTGCGTAGTTTCAGAAAATATCAATACCTCCCAAAGTATTTCACAAGAGAAGGGTTCTTGAGATTTTGTGAAGGGCATTTTGTGTAGTACCTGAAAATCAGGGCCCTGCTGAAAATGTCTCTTACCTCCACTATCAAGAGGAAATTTTACAACAACAAAACTAAGGGGTGGATAATAAGGAGGAGAATATATCTGATAATGCTCAAAATGTACCAGGTGATTTCGTTTCTTTCATCTGGAACGCAATTAGCCAATCAGAGAACATTTGATTTCTTCATAGCTCAATATTTCCTAGCTCCAGGTTTTCGGCTCAAATAACAGCTTTTACTTGAAAGTAAAAAAAAAATATTATAATATATTATGTCTTTTAGAAAGAGCATATTTCGTCATTGTTGGTGGAAAATATTTCACTTTGGTAAAATTTAAAGATGATACAAAACACTTGGAAATCTTTGCAATGACAAACAGTGCATCGTGCCTATAGATTCTGAATCACCTGGTATGAAATTTTTATTTTGTAGAACTTCAGCTTTTATTAAATATATTTATTCTGGACCAATATTACTATAGCTAGTTAGACCCATATTGTATAAGCATGCATTAACCAATCATATAGTTAGTTTCACACCTTGCAAACACATTTAGTTCCAATTGTATTTGTTTAATACTATCATATGACTCTTTAAATATACATCAATGCAAATAAAATAATGTGAACAAAGAAGTTGCCAATAAATAACTCTACTATATTACTAACACTATTTTTTAAAGTTTTGTTTAGTGACCATGAATAATAGATCCAGGTCAAGGTTTGAGTTGCCGTACATGATATACTATGGTTTGCTATATGCACAGCAAAACTCCAACTTTGGCTTGGACCTATCTTTTGTGGTCACTGAACTGAACCGTAAAATGGAGTATCAATCAAGTCTAAACACTATCAAATTAATCTTATGATTCATCAATTGCTTAATTTTTTATATAGAGGATTTTCTGGAACCCTATCCTCGATCAGCAATTCAGGCCATTCACAAGCATCAAGGTAGATATAGTTATATATATAGCAAGGAAAGAAGAAGCATAATTTTTTTTGCATGTGTGGAGGGCAGGAGTATGAAATAATTTTGGACTGTATACAAACAATAAATATCATATTATCAAATTGCAATCGTATGCAAGTATATAACAAATATACGTAACTTATATAAAATCTTATAAAAATCCTTATCAATAAAAATATAAAAATTTYAAGAACTGCAGGAGGTTTATAATTTAAATACTATTCAGACTTACTAGCAGCATTAGTTTTTCACTCTTGATTTCATTTAATCTTAAAAGATGTAAAAAACTACTACTTGCAAACTTTAATTTTTCATATAATTTGAAAAAAATTCAAAAAATCTTACCTTTGTTAGTTTACATTCCATTTATTTTGTATTTTGCTTTGCGGGAATTTATAAAAATGATTTTTCTAGGATATTGAATAAATATTGGTCACACACGTGATTCGAGTCATTCAAGCAAGTTGCCTTTCGCTCTAGAAATCTCGAGAATGTATCATTAATCTTGATTGGTAGATTATAGTCATTTGCATTTTAGGTTGATATAACGAAAGCTGTGATTGGTGCAATTTAGATTTGACGTCACTTCCACCATGCGCATCAAGCCACGCGATACGCTTTTCTTCCTTTTTACTCCGAACTTCGATCAAGAAAGGCAAGCGATAAGCCATCTCTGCCTTCAAAATGCTTCTTTTTCAGGATATCTTCACCGGTAAAGACATTCTCACCGACAGTTATAAAATGAAGCTTGTTGATGACTTCGTTTATGTGGTTGAAGGGAGCTATGTTACGAAATCTGGCGATAATTTCAGTGATGAAATGTTCGGAGGAAACCCATCGGCTGAAGAACAAGTAGAGGAACTTGAACAAGCTTCTTCTAAATCTGGATTCGACGTTATTTTAAACCACGAAGACCTCGAGGAATACAACGAGCAACCCACTTTGAAGCAGTTCTTAAAAACCCTGAAGAAGATCATTGGTTTTGCCAAGGAAAAGATTCCCAAAGACCGTTTTGACTCGATCTTTAAACCAAAAATGACCGAGTTCTTTACGACTGGTCCTGGAAAGGAAAGATTCAGTAATTTCCAGATCTATTTTTCTAAGGGCTATATCACCGAAGATGGCGACGTTAAAGCCGCTCCAGTATTAATTGATGCTGATGACACCGGAATGAAATCAACAATTTACTACTTTAAAGACTTGATGGATGAAGTCAAGATGTAAGCTAGTTGTAGTTCTTCCATTCAACATGATGTCTCAATTTTAAAATTCTTTATGAAGTTCATCATGAACGTTAGTGTTGAATTTCAGTTTTAGAATTGTAAGAATTAAAGGCCGAGATCAATAAAATCTAAGTATATCTCCATCGTTTTTGTAGTAATATTGCTTTCATATACAAATTTTTTTTTTTTTGCATGTACTTCGTATGTCCCAGAAAAACTCGAAGAAAGACATGCTTTACGATTAATATTATACCGTACGATGTTTGAGAAATTCATTTTTTATAGTACTGTTAGATTCATTTGACCCTTTTATTAGCATTATACATTTTTCCATGCCAGCATTATTTTTTAGTGAATGCCAATCGAGCAAGTTTGATGTTTTTTGGGGGGCTGCATACTAGAGTACTTATGCACCAGTCATTTGGCATACCCGGGAACTTCACTTTTTCCCTCAGTGAAAGGTAATGAAAGCCCCGCCCCACAGGGAAGAAAATAAAATTGAAGTCCTTGCATCGTCTTTTGAGTAGTTTATTTTAATGTCAACTGGATATTTCATATCTTTTGCAGCAGAAATGTGTTCGCCAACAAAGAAATAGATTTAAGTGTTCAATATTTATTCCATGTAGTACCAGCTTACTTGCTTCCATTTTTGTTTGTCTTTTTCTTTTTCTGTCTTTTTCTCTATCATAGAATAGAATGAAAAGCCATTTTCTGATCGATGGCTTAGAAAAACATAATAGTCAATGCGATGAAAATCTTCGGTTAGGCTTCACGAATTTGCAACCACCCCTGTTATTGGTTAGGTTTAGGGGCGGGGTTGGGGAAAGGTCATTATTTTCTATTGTTCTACACGTGTGCCCTCCAATAGGATTACATCTTGCAAATTCGTGAAGGACGACCCAAAATCTTACYGTCTTCGTCTCGTCCATTATGACAACGTAAACTCACAAGAGGAGCTCACTCTGTCCCATCCCCCAAAACGGAAAATTGCAGTCCCTGATCAGTCCCTGGGTTTCAGCTGAAGCTGTGAATTGAAGCACTTTCCCCAACCACCAGGGAACCAAATACATGTGAAAATGGGGTGAAATCCCTGCTATGCCCCCGGGTATGCCTCATGGAGKATGTGGGGGATGTCAAATGACTGGTGCATTAATATTTCCTGGAAACGCTGTGATTAACATCTCCCAAAGCTAACCATGTTCTGAYGACTGTTGAGCTGAGGAATGCCAGATTTTCCAATCATCTGTTTTTGGGTGATGTAGTGGTTTACTGCTCACCTGTCACTGCTGTGGTCGCGGTTATAGCCTAGGCTCTGACTGGATCATAATAATTTATGTGAATTGAGTTTGTTTGATGTGTTGTTCTTTCCTCCCCTGAACATGTGAGTTGAGTGTTGTAAATATAGAATGTAGTGATAGTGCATGTGGAATGAACCTTACAGAAAAGCCTCGTTTGGGGAGTGGTGGTTGTAAAATATTTTGGTCCATCTATGGAATGTTGAACAGTCTAATATGTAGGCCATTGAGCAGACATTGTCTCAAGCCTTGTAACATGCTATCAATTTGTTGCCCAATAGTACAGTCCCTTTCACAGTTCCTTGTGCCACCTCGAAAGGTACCTGTGCCTTTGCATCGGAGCAAGAAAACAGCGAGCTTGCAATAATAATAGGAGACTTTTTAACACCTTGGACAATAGAAGCTGTTATAACAGTTCTGCCCACCATGAAAAAATCTTTTACTTTGAGAATCACACAAGTGAGGTTATCTGGCCGATACAATGCTTGTTCTGTCACTTGCATCTCATTTGCATGCATCCATATTAATAACTGCTATCATTCACCTGTATCATTTCAAGATTCACCTAATGCAGATAACCCCTCCCCCACGCGCACCACCCTTTCTCAGATTCCTGGATCTATTAATTCTGATTTGATTATCATTGCTTTTATTGAACAATAATTGTTATAATTGATAATTATTATCAGGAAAAGTTATACCTCACACTAATATTGCTATATGGCTTTTTAGTAGTAGTGGTATAGTTATTTTGATTTTCAGCAAATGTTTTTGAAAAGAAGAATAAAAGGGTGAACAACCAGTTGGAAGGATAAACCAATAAAATGCAACAATAGTATCTTAAGATAAATATCAGAATTAAGTAAATATTCGTAGGAGTATGGCATTAAAAATACCTATCTGGAAAAACTTGAATAAATTAATGATTTTTACACCTATTTTCATAATATTATACGACTACAGCAGCTGCATGATAAGTTGCTTTAAAAATTAATAGTATAGCTACAAAATATATCCATACCCCACCATGGAGGGGACTTGTAAAAGGACCCCCAACCCCCAGGAACTTTCAATTATTTCCTTACCGACAAACTCTGTAATTTTGTTCTTTCTCTGACCCTCTCCCCTCCAGAATTTTCAATTTCCTCTGTGCATGGGTGGGGAATGGATATATTCTGGAATTATGCTTTTTYGCTTTCGTCAATCAAAAAACACTAACAGATCATGCAGACCATTATTGTGTAAATTTGAGAGGGATGACCAAATAGCAAGAATTATGACAACTGGAGTTGTTCTGGTCTCGGAATTATGAAAATGGAATCGATATATGATATTTCAGTTAACTAACATAATATTATGATAATCACATAATCAACATCATCCTGAATAAAATAAATAAATATTGAAAACTAAAATATTGATCAAGGTTATATTTCTTGTGAAATTAAAATTCTTTGCTATTTTATAATTTACTCTTGGAATCTTATTTTCTTCCCTTTTCTTGTGATGGACAATTAGTTTTGGATTCTAATTACTTGCACGTAATCCATTTTTTTACACTCTGGGACAACTGGGTTCACGATCATCTTCATCACCCCCAAGTCTCTTGTACAGTTTCATAAGCAGTTCCGCAGTTGATGAAAAAACTGGGAGGAGTTAATAAGCATATTGTAGTGCATTTTTTGAGGCAGTTTTAGGTAACAACAAAGATGGCAGCTTTCATGACAAAGGCCTATTTAAAATGAGTGACCTGCTGGGATGTTCTGTGATTCAATCATCAATGAATATGTCCAATAAAACAGCCTCACAATTATTGCAGTGCCGGACTCAACCCCAGTTGTTTCTTCAACTTTGGAATGACTAAAAATTATAGATACATATAAGGTGTATATTGATCACTTTTTACCCTACACTTTGCATGTGCTATGGATTTCAATTTGTCTCTTGATGATCCCTCAATCAACACGATGTTATGTCCTCGGCAATGTGCATAATAATATAGCAAGGGGTTCAAAATGCAGTATTCCATGCATATAACTATATACAGCAAACGATTTTATCTGCCACCATAAAAATATAAATAATAAACCTGAGAACTGTATAGAATTTAAAACTTAACTTAACTTATGCTTATACATGCACAGTTTTCATTTTTTTCTAGATTTAAAATGTTTACAGTTGAGATTAATGTATTAATTTACGCCTATTTCAAAAAAACGGTGTCGGTTGAAGATCTCGAATCTGAAGCCTGAGTAGCAAATTGTTTGTAATCATGTATTTACAGCTGAATAACTTTCCTTTTAGATGTGAATATGAGGCATGACTTTTGAGTTAGAAATGGGATTTTTTGAATCTTAGCCAAAAAACATAATAGCAAAAATTTGTTACTTTTTAGTTTCAGATATCATCCATTCCAGATCTCAGACTGACAACATTTTTTGTAATAGGTGTATACTAATAGTTCTTCATATCTATCTAAAATTATATCCATCTTGTGTAAAAGTTTTACCCATTAAAATATTCACAAGACAAACTTTACAGCACAATGTGCTGACTTACCTGCTTGATTATGTACCTTTACAACAAACATATTGACACAAAGCAGATTAACCCCCCCCCCCCCAGAGGAATTTTGGATTTCCTAG